GAGTGTAAAATATAAATACAGTGGGGACTGGGGACTAATCGAGTGATAGACTGCCGTCAGCCGAGTGTTCACTCAACACTGTACACTGTGCAGTATGTTGTCATTGTTGTGTAGTTTACTGTGCAGTGTGCAGTGTGCACTGCACTGTAAAAGTTGTGCACTGTGAAAGTTGTGCACTATTGTGCAGAACTGCGGACTGCGGAGTGCAGCCTAGACTGCAGCCTTATGAAGTTAATAGTTAAGCAGCCGCCGGGGGGTTACTCTTTCTGAGTTAGGATTCTGGAGTCTGGGACTCTGGTATTCTTCTGGGTTTCAATAGTCTACACCGATAAATGCACCGAACAAAAATGTCAGCCTGTAAAAAACTGAAATAGTTTCTATAGTCTATCCTGATAAATGCACTGAACAAAAATATCAGCCAGTAAAAAACTGAGATAGTTTCTATAGTCTATACTGAAAAATGCACCGAACAAAAATGTCAGCCAGTAAAAAACTGAAATATGTTTTTTGTTTGTGGAGAGTTGTAGACTGTAGAATGTAGTACACTCTATTTTATTTTTTAGTTTAGAAAAACAAAATACATATAAATACATTTACGATATTCATATTTGGTTTAAAAAACTATATAGGCAATAGCCAACAGTTGGCAACAGGCCAACTGCAAATATACTGTTCAGCGCCAGTTTCTGCTTTTATTTTTTCTAAAAAACAAAATGTTTATTTAGAAAAAACAAAATAGTACACTGAATAATTTATTTTTATATATTTTAGAAAACAAGTAGTAACAGAGAAGCTTTTTATTCATTTATAATATTTGTTTTAAAAGAATGGTCATATGTAGTGTAGAACTGTAGACTGTAGCGGTGTACACCTTCTAAAAATTACCATTCAGAAGACTATGGCAAGGTAGCAGACTGCAGAGTCCAGAGTCCAGACTCGCAGAGTAGTATATTTATTATTTGAGAGTTCCTCTCGGCTCTCGCAAACGTTTATGTACTCTCTCTCTCTCTCTCTCTGATCTGTGGGTACTCCATATTTGAAATAGAGGTGAATATACTCCATAGATATGTAGTTTCTGTGCCTCAAAGAGTTCTCAGTTCTTCTCATTCTGGGACTGGGACCCGTTGACCGTTGTTGTATGGTTTTTGACTTTTTTTCTGTATGTATTTAATTTCTACATATTGAAATACTAGAAATCTGATCTTTAGAAGCCAGATTTTGACCCAGAGTCCCAGACACATAGTAGTCGCGAACTCGCGATACATGTCACAGCCTTCGCTTTCTTTTAGGCACTGAATAATTTCTTTTCCCAATTTCAAATTATTTCTGATAGAAATGCTAATTTTTGACTTTAGCTTTCCATTCCGAACCCTATCTGTATGCGAGTGCACCATACTCCTTACTCATTTTCGAATATAAATTTTAACCCTTCATGACTTCATCCTGCTTCCGTGCCAGGGCCCTGGCGGCCTGGCCTGAAGTGTTTCAAGTCACAAGTGACCCGGGAGGCTAGCCCGCTGGGGCCTGGGGCCCTGGGCGTGAAGTCCTGAACTCCTGATCAGTTTAATTCTTCTGAAGACCTCCTGAATTTTAATAGTACAAGCCTTCCTTTTCTTTTATAGCTGTAAAAACATATTTAAAAAAAAAGCCTACAGTCTACATATGACGAAAGACTTTGCTTTCATGAGACACGACTCACCCCTTGAGATCACAGTGTAATAGAGTGAAGAAGAAAACAATAGTCCTTTTTTTATTTCTAGCACTTTTATTGGCCGCTATTTGAGATGTAACTCATTGGCGTGATATAGTGTTTTGCCCTTTCTAAGTCTGCCTGGGCCTAGCTTTTTATACGTATATAATACTATTTCAAGAGTAGAGACTCTCTACAGTCTACAGACATGAAGTCCAGCCTGTATCTCCTGTGACAAAAAGCAAAAACAGTAAAACATTCTGTGGTTAAAAAGTAAATATCATACATACTCAAAGAGAGGACTCCAGGAATCGAGAACTACCGTAAATTTCACTGATGACTAAATGCATGACACTAAACCTTTGTTAAAAAAAAAGCTGTGTCCGGATTCTCGGATAGGCAGGATAGCGACAGAAGCCTTCACAGGTCACAGTCTCACAGACTCACAGGACAGGCGAATAAATACCCCCTGGGAGCACTGCAAAACATATATATTGCGGGCAGAATCGAGAGTAAAATCAATACCCTACTACTAGTAGTAGAGAGTAGAAATTTTCGACTCTTTCGACTTCAACTCATCGCTATGGTCAATAATAAAATGCAATCGATTAATCAACACAGGTCACGGACTCATTGTACAAGATTGTATTATTGTACAAAGAACGGGATATGTTAAATATATATATTGTATAAACATTGGCGAAATGTCGGTCACAATATAAATTCCAATAATATCACCACTGAGATTCTCGATACGTTTACATTGATTTGTGAACACTCTTTGACAATGGACGTCGTGATCAAAGTACCTGGAGGGAGCACAATAGAGAAACGCTTGAATACGGACATCCTAGTCCGTACAATAGCTGCATCAAGACCATTTATTTTACCTTCTGATGATAGAGGTATGAACCCTGACAGCTTAGAAATTCTTCGCCAAATGCCAAACAAACCGTCGAGTTTACGTCGCAAACCAGCAGTGGGAAGTACCCGTCTCGTACATACACCTTCATCAATATATACATACAGAATAATACCACTGCGTGACGAAAATATCAACGATGAAAGTATCAGTCTTGACAGTGAACACAGCGATTCGGGCTACAATCTAAAGCCTAAAAAACTTTACTATCTTAAAGGCTCGCCTTTAAACTCTATATTCGATTTTAATCCACAAACGGCGGGAATTAGCACCAGAATTAGCACCTCAGTATCCGAATACTTCAATCTGCGAGGATCAAGCAAGTCAAGTATGCAGAGTAATGTAGCCAACACCCTTGTATGTTCTGAATATTGTCGTATTGAATCTACCGGTACACCAGTACTCAGTACGAACGGTGCCAACGATGATATTTCTACATCTTATACAAGCTTTACAGAGGAGCCCACTACAGATTCTTCCATCCCAGTTGCTAATACATCCATCAATGACAATGAGGGCTATACACAAGCTCGATCATACGTACAAAGACAGCAGTCACTTATAGTGGATTATCATCCGCACACAATTAAACATTCTTTGAATCGAGGATCGTCTGCGCCATTGAGACCAGCGAGACCATTAAATCCAGTTTTGAGCCAGATCAGCATGGACTCCCTGACACGTGATGTGCTGGACATAAGTGACGTGTCGATGATAAGCGCAAACAGCAATCTGACAAGGAGAACTACTGACACAGTTGATAAAAAAATAGCCCCATCATCCTCGCATCGTCTCTTACATCCGAGGCGACACTCTGTACCGGGCCCAAAGGTGCTGGAAGCAATCGCAGACGATCCTTTGTCCCAGAAGAACCGTGATTCTGTGCGGATGAAGAAGAAAGCACTCAAGATTATTAGGTTTGTACGCACACTGTCCCGACGAGGTTCGGATCGTGTATAAGAGACTTTCATATTTAAGCCAGAAATCGTCTTAGTGTTGGCAGGAGCCGCAAACTATTGCGATCAATCACGAACGACCACAGCGTTTGTGGTGGTAGTCTATTGTCGATTAAAAACATTTATATCGAATCGTAAAGCAACGAGATTTTAATACATTCTGCAAATGTACTGGACAAGAAGAGTCGAAGTACTTCAAACCCTTTCGCCCCAGCTTGGGGTACTTGCTAATAGATGTTGACAGTGCTGATGATGTTTGAAGATATCGCATCCATTGTTGTTGCCGATACTGGCACCTGATGCGAGTATGTTTGTATATTTTAGATTATGTTTATATGAACATAGGGCAGTATGGTATTTTCCTGGTATGATAGTGTTCAAGTGTCAGTCAACTCGATAACTCAAAGGCCTTAAACACAGGGTTATGATGGAGAAGGAAAATATAAATATAACATATTTATAGGGGATCGAAGTAACGTCCGAAGGACGAATGATTTTTTTTTTAAAGTATTCAGTGTGTGGCTGTGTCATGTGTGCCAAGTGCCAAGCGCCAACCGATAATGAAAATATCAACCCGGGCTATGGGCTGTCGACGGGTCCTTGAGTCCTGAATCACTCCTGACGGTTGTTGGTGAAAAAAAAAGGGTTGCATGACCAACCAAAACTTCGGAACAAATTTATTGATTGTTGGTATGTATATATACTATATTAACATATATTAATAATCAAAATTTCATTTTGATGTACCCGGCTAGCTCAGTCGGTAGAGCGTGAGACTCTTAATCTCAAGGTCGAGGGTTCGAGCCCCTCGCTGGGAATACTTTTATGTCACAAAGATATACCTAATCTCTAGTAGACGAAGTCTTTGCCAGATTGCCATATTGAACCAAAAAGGGATGTTTTTGAACACGTTCAAATGTTTATGTAGATTACGAGATCGCTTGGGGTAGCTAGTGTGTATTTAA